GTGGTGGAGTTGCATTGGAGGGGGAGTGGCTGGGAGGCTATTTATCTCCGTAAGGGGCCTCCGTGCTCCCTGCAGCCCAGGGGATTAGAGTGCCCAGAGATCCCCAGATTCTCTACCTCTGGACTAAGTGTCCCGCCCTCCCCCTTTAAGACTTCCAAAAAGCACCCGCCAAAACAAAACAATGACCACAAAAAAAAAAAGAAAATGGCTGCTCATTTTTCTTTATTCTCTGGCACCAGCCTCAGGCACCCGCTCACCAGTCTTGCTGCCCTGTTTCCCTAGTATTGGGGTCCCTATCCCTTTAAGACTTCCAAAAAGCGCTCGCCAAAACAAAACAACAACAACAACAACAACAACAAAAATGGCCACTCGCTTTTCTTTTGTTCTCCAGTGCCGGCCTCTGATACCCACTTGCCGGTCTTGCTGCCCTGTTTACCTAGTATTGGGGTCCCTGTCCATGTAAGACTTCCAAAAAGCACTCGCCACAACAAAACAACAACAACAACAACAACAAAAAGTGGCTGCTCGCTTTTGTTTTGTTCTCTGGCGCCGGTCTCTGATGCCCACTCACCAGTTTTGCTGCCCTGTTTCCCTAGTATTGGGGTCCCTGTCCCTTTAAGACTTCCAAAAAGCACTCACCACAACAAAACAACAACAACAACAAGAAAAAAAAAAAAGATGGCCACTTGCTTTTCTTTTGTCCTCCGGTGCTGGCCGCTGGTACCCTCTCACCATTCTTACTGCGCAGTTTCCCTAGTATCCAGGGTCCCGTGCATGCACTGTGTCTGCGCTCTGGTCTGGATGGCTGGGGCTGGGTGTTCAGCAGTGCTGGGCTCCTTCTCCCTCCCACTCAGACCTCTCTCCTCCCGCCAGGAGCTGGAAGGAGGGGCGCTTGGGACCTGCCGGTTCAGGGCTTGTATCTTACCCCCTTTGCGAGGCGCTGGGTTCTCGCAGGTGTGGATGTGGTCTGGATGTTGTCCTGTATCCTCTGGTCTCTATTCTAGGAGGAGTTGTCTTTGTTATATTTTCATAGATATATGTGGTTTTGGGAGGAGATTTCTGCTGCTCTACTCATGCTGCCATCTTGGCTCCGCCCCAACATTGACATTTTTAACCCACCTGGGATTTCTTTGACAGTAATGCATCAAAATACATATCTAAATTTATTTTATCTTACTAATGTATTTATTCTCTTTGCAGAGCTTCTGTTTCACTCTGTTGTTCTAGTAATCTATTCTGTGCCATCACCACCTGTTTTGATTAAATTAATATTAAATTGTTTCTATATCTAGAAAGGCAATGCAAGTTAATCCTTTTAATTTTGTTTCTGTTTTGACTTGTCTCAGCTCTGCTCAAAAATGTGTTCTTGCAGATGAATCAGTTTTACATGAACACAGTTTGGAATAAATCCTGCTTGGAATGTAAATGAAGTTACATTAACCCTATAAATGAATTTGCAAAGAATGGGTATCTTTCCAATATTCAAAAAATGGGGTGATTTTCATTTAATACTTTCTTTTTTCATGTAGCAGCTTTCTTTGTTACCTTCACATTGTTTACAAAATTCTTTTAAGGATATTTAGGCACTTAATATTTTGTGTTACTATTATAAATGGGATATTATTTCCATTAAATATTATACTTAGACTTTTCCCCTGGATTTTGAAATTGCCATTGATTTTTATAGTTTTTTCATATATTGAGCTATTTAATTTTTAAACTTTGTGGTTAAAGGGCTTTCTAGATAGAGAACTGCCACTGACAAAAAATAATAAAAGGTAAATTTCTTCTTTCCCAGTGTTACAAATCTTACTGCATTGGCTAAAATTTCTAGAAGATTACATGATAATGTTGGTAGAAAGCATCCTTCTCTGGTTCTTGGTTTTAGTGGGAACATGTTAATATTTCATTGCCAGGTATAGTTTTGGCTATTAATTTCACATAGAGATTCTGTCTTATGTTGAGCAATAATACTCAAATTTCTGGCTATGTTCCCAGATTCTCTTCTCCCTCTAATGACTAAAATAATATTATTAAATATATTGATTCTTCATATATCATATTCATCAATACCTTATAGACATTTACTAATCATCTCAATATTTATAACATGTTTGTTATTATTCCTATTTCATCATAAAGAATCAGAGACTTTAACCATTGGTTCCACAGCTGCTAAGTGCTAGAACTCAGCTTTGAACCTTGGTCTGTAATAGTCGAAGGGTGACATACTGATTTTTTTTTTTCTATAAAGAACCTGTGGTCCTTATTTTTCATGTGCCCTGCCCCACATGGATTTCCCACTCATCCTGCCTGGCCCTGTGCCCTGGGAGGCTAACCTGTGCAGACTGCCCTCCCCAGCCTCCCTTGCTGCCTGTCTTCTTCTCAGTTTGGCCAGTGAGGATCACTGACATGATGCTGGAAGGTAATGAGAAGAGGTAAGGATATTCTTCCTAGGTCCTCTCCCTGCCTAGGCATGTATCCAAAATACACAAACAACTCTTAAAAATCAACAGTAAGAAAACAAACAACTCAACTTAAAGATAGGCAAAAGCTCTGAACAGATACCTTACCGAGGAAGATACATGGATGTTGAATAAGTATGTGAAAAGATGCTCAATATCATTAGCGAAATGCAAATGAAAGCAAGAAGATATCACTATACACCTGTCAGAAAGATCAAAATCCCCAGCACAGACAGTATCAGATGGGGAATGTGGAGAAACCGAAACACATATCTGTTGCTGGTGTGAATAGTCTGGTAGAGAGACTTTCAAAGTCGGTTTGGCAGTTTCCTACAAAGCTAACATGCTCTTATTATATGATCTAGTAACCATGCTCCTTGGTAGTTACCCAGATGAAACTTATTGAAAATTAATAATTTAGAAAAATAATTAAAATAATAAATATAAATAATTTTAGAAATAATTTATAATTTAAAAATATGTTTATTTTTTATAATACATAATTTTTATATTTAAAAAATAACAAAATTAACAATTTAAAAAATAATTAAAATAATAAATATAATATAAATATAAATAATTTTAAAAATAATTTAAAAATAAACATAAAACTTATTTATAATTGCCAACACTTGGAAACAATCTAGATGTCCTTCAATAGGTGAATGTATAAATAAACTGTGGTACATCCAGACAATAGGCTATTAGTCCGAAATGAAAGAAATGAGCTATACGCCATGAAAAACCAAAGAGAAACCTTAAGTGCGTATGGATAGCTAAGTGAAAAATGCCGGTCTGAAAAGGTACATATTGTGTGATTCTTAGGTTAGGGGAGGAAAAATAATTTTCCTGCTACCTTCTGAGTTCTTAGCAGAGACACCTGTAATAAAAGACAGATTGAGAAGAGAAAAGCAAACAGAAGTTCATTAACATGTCCACCTCATGCCCATATGGAGATACCCAGGGAAACGAGTAACTCCCAAGGTGGGTTAGAATTCGGGATTAAATGCCGACCGAACAGGGAAACGGAAGGCTATAAACCTCTTAGCGCAGAGCAGTGAGGTTTAGGAAAGCAGAGAGTTTCTCTGGGTGTGGTGCAGGCTTCCAGTCCCCTTTCCTGTGATGAATCAGTCCTCCCTGCTGGCGCCACTCCTTGGGAGGGCATGGGTGACAGTTGAGAGGATCTGACTTTCCGCAGATAAGGGGGCTCAGAGAAAGGCTTTCCCACATTCACTGTTTTTCCAGCACCTTCAACATAAAATCATACATGCACCAAAGACGCATATTTGGGGGTGGCCTATCCTGTACTCCTGCAGTCCTATTTCGGGGTGGCATGGTCTTCTACCCTTCACTATGAGTGACATTCTGGAAAATTCAGAGCAATGGAGATAGTAAAAATATCAGGGGTTTGAGGGGTGAGAAAGATGAATAAGTGAGGCACAGGGGGTTTTTAGGGCAATGAAACTGTTTAAAGGTGGATATATGTCATTATACATCTGTCCAAATCCATGGAATGCATAGTCCAGAGTGAACCCTAATAGAAACCAGGGGCTTCAATTAATAATAATGTATAAATACTGGCTCATCAGCTGTAACAAATGAACCTCACAAATTCAACATATAAATAAGAGGAAACTGTGGCTGGGGAGGGAGTACATGGAATCACTCTGAACCTTACACTCCATTTGTGTATGCCTAAAACTGCTCTAAAAAATAAAGTCTATTAATTTTTGAAATGTATCTTAATTTTTTTAATGCATTTTCGTTATGTATAAAGATAATTGTGTAGCTTCAGATGTGACACATTAAATTGATAGATTTCCTAGTGGGGAGTGACCCTTGTATTCCTAGAATAATTCTGTTTGATTAGAATATGTTCTCATTTTTATTTAGCACTGAAATTGATTTGTTAGAATCACATTTAGAATTTTTGCACCTATGTTCATAAGTGACAATGTCTCATATGCTGTTTTCTTCTTTAGTTGAGTGGGTTCAGTGCTATTTTTCTCAAGCATTGGTATTAAGTTAACCAAGCATTGGTATTAACATAACTTCATAAAAATACATTGAGATTTAAATATAATTATATATCATGCATATCTGCCATTATATACAGCTTAAAATATTTTACATAAAACCACTTGAACTTGAAATTTTGGGGAATAAATTTTTAAATTTCTGAATAATCGTTTCAGTAACATGCATAGCAATTTGCCTCATCAGGTTTTCTGCTTCTTTTTAAGTAAAGTTTTGCCATTTATACTTGGCCAGAAAATTGCCCTTTTCAGAAAAATATCAAATTTATTTATAGAATGTGTTTTTAAAATTACCCTTATTTTTGTAGTTTCCCCTGACTCTTGAGTCATGTCATTTTTTTTCACTCCCACATTTATGCATTTCTATTTGAACCAAATTTATGTACTTAAACTAGTAAAAATTAAAAGTGATTGCATTACTTTATTGGGTTTTCCTTATTCAAATAACTAGCTTTCAGACTTACTAGTGTATCAGTTCAACTGTTTTCCCCTTTCCGAATGTAAGGAGAACAATCTCCTCCTGTGCCCACCTGGGTTCTCCAGCTGGCACCTGTAGATTAGAGGCGCCAAAGACACATTCATAAGGGAAGAACGACCAGAAGCTCCATAGCAAGTGCACGCGAGCATGGGGTACTCAGTGACCCAGGGGGGTGGCAGAGCTGGGTCCCAATACCAACATTAGAAAAGGGCTTTGGGAGCTTCAGAGCAGGGGAGGCAATTCGTGGGAAGGCGGCCAGAAAAAAGTATGGTAAACAAGGGTTTTTTAGTAAGGTTTGTTACGCAGATTTAAACCACATTGACAGTGTCCTCGTCCAGGTACAGGAAAGGGACACATCTTTACAAATGCAGATTTCCTTTATAAAAGGAAAACCTGCACGCGGTTTTCAGACTCTTTCTTGTGTCTGGGAGTTCTCAGTGGCCTCTTCCTCAAAATAATCCCTATGCCAAAGCTATATATATCTTGGGGTGCCATATTTTGGTACCTTTCACTGATAATTTTTTAATGAGATATAATTGACATATGACATTGTATTAATTTTAGGTATACAACATAATATGTTTATATAGTGCCAAATAATCACCACAATAAGTCTAATTAGCATCCATCACCTTACATAGTTAACAGAAATTTTTTTCTTGTGATGAGAACTTCTAAGATTTACTCTCAGCAACTTTCAAATATGCAACACAATATTGCTGACTATAGTCACTATGCTGTACATTACAGCCCTATGACTTACCTATTTTATAGCTGGAAGTATGTAGCTCATGACCATTTCACCTTCACCTATTTCACCCACCCCTCCACCCCACATCTGTCAATGGCCTATTGACTGTTCTCTGTATCTATAAGATCAGAAATTTTTTTAAAGATTCCACAAATAAGTGAGATCATACAGTATTTGTCTCCCTCCGACTGGCTTCACTCAACATAATGCCCTCAAAGATCCATCCTTGTTGCTGCAAATGACAAGACTTCCTTCTTTTTGTGGCTGAATAATACTCCATTGTATCCATCATCTATCTATTTATATATATATATCTCACATTCTCTTTATCCATTCATCTGTCAATGAACACTCAGGATGTTTTCATGTCTTGTCTATTGTAAATAATGCTGCAAAGAACACAGAAGTGCTGATATATGTTTGAGATAGTGATTTCATTTTCTTTGGAATACATGCCCAAAATGGGATTGCTGGATCCTATGGTATTTCTACTTTTAACTTTCTAAGGAAACTTCATACTGTTTTCCATACTGGCTGCACCAAATTTACATTCCCACTGACAGTGCACAAGGGTTCCCTTTCTCCACATTCTTGTCAACACTTCTTATTCCGTGTCTTTTTAATAATACCCACTCTAACAAGGGTGAGGCGATATCCCATTGTGGTTCTGATTTGCATTTCCGTAATGATTAGCTTTTCATGTACTTTTGGCCATCTGTCTTCCTACACTGATTATGTTTTGTGGGATGTTATGTTTATTATATCCATTTTCCTGCAAAGTTTGTTTGGGTATTATTTTCTTAATTACCTCAGATGAATATACAATTTAAAAATATTTTAATATTTATTTCTTAATAGAAGGCTATGACTTTGTTTCACAAAAGAAGTTTAATTCATCTACTAATTTACAGCTGTTTTACTGCAGTGTACCAAAGGATGATTTTCTTCTGTTTTTCTCAATGTTACTTGAGGTTTGCTGAGCTGCTTGGGGTTTCTTGAATCTGTGGATTGGAGTATTTTATCAATTTTGGTAAACTCCTGGCCATTATCTCTTCTGAGTTATTGCTTTTGCCCCATTCTCTTTCCCTCTTTCTCTCTGTACTCCAATTATACATATACAGCTTTAGGAAGACTCAGTCCATCTCTGGCTCTTCCCTGCGGGGCAGGCAAGACCTTCCAGGAATTTGAAAGCCTAATGGGTGATTATCTCTTAAGCCAGACTTCTCAAGTCATATCATCTCCCATGCTAGCTCCGGCTCAACGTGACCACCAAAAATCTCCAATTTCTCCACCCTGCTGTGTGGGTTAAGTCTGATCATTAGTTCCTACGGAGAATTGACAGAAGCCCTGCCTCAGAAGGCTCCCCTCTGAAATTCCAGTTGCCTAATGATTGCTGTTCCCACAACTTTGTCTTTAAAAATATGACTTCTGTAATTTACCTGGCTTTTTTCTGGTCATTGTGTTGGGAGCACTGGGCTGTTGCAATACCTGCACCCCACCTGGAAGCTGAAGTCATCCCACAAATGGTTTGTTTCTTAAACAGCTTAATTTAGATATAATTTAGATATAATTCACATGCCATTCCATTCACCTGTTTAAAGTGTATGATTTAATGGCTTTTAGTATAATCAGAGTTGCACAACCATCATAACAATCAATCTTATAACATTTTCTTTACACCACAAAGAAGCCCCCAAACCTTCAGCCT